GGGAGGGGCCCACGGTGGAAACCAAGGTAACGGCCTGGCCCCCTGCTCGGGCTGCGCGGCCCTCCCTTCCCGTGGGCCTGTGTCAGGGTCCTGCTTCCCTTCCCACCGGGCCCGCTGGGCCTCCCCTGCCACCAGCCCCCCCCACCCCCCGGGGGCTCACGGGGAACGCGGGGGAGAGGCCCCGTGGCGGGCACTTCCAGGCTTTGCCCCTGTAGGCCGAAGGGTAACAGCAGTTACCTGCTCAGAATTGACTGAGGCTGCTCGCGTCACTTGTTTTTGCTTCTGCCTTGGAGATTCGAGCAGTAAAAAAACGCTTCCCCGTTGCTGTTTTTAATAATCGCAGCCGTGGTGATGATGGTGCCCTCGGCAGAGCAGCCAGTGCCGACCTGTTCATGCCTGGTGGTCTGTGGGGGCAACGGAAGAAACAGCAGTAATGCCCCAAGTTTAGCTGGCCTTACAAAGCCCAGGCAGGACTAATAATAATAATAATAAGTAGTAGTATGTTGAGAGTATAGCAAAAAAATACACTAGAAAGGATTTAACATCACCTTAACGTCAGGTCAGTGGACACAAACTCCATTGTGGTGGCCAGGAAGGCAGAGTGGGAGCAGGAGGATTGGAGCCAGCTTGTTAAAATCCAGCCTGTTCTGAAGGCATTCTTTTTCTTCTCCCCCCCCCACCCAGTGTTTTCCATTGTGCTTTTACATGTGTTTCCAGATAACTGAGGTTTTCCAGGATTCTGGAAGGAAGAGGTTCATCGTTATTTGTGAAAAGCTGGAGTTTGGGATAAAAGTAGGCCTTCAGTAAATGTAGTATGAAAGCTTTCAGTTCTTCAGGAAGATTGCACTTTGCTCATCTGTTGGTAACTTCAGCAGATTGTGGTAATAGTGAATAATTTTCCTTATAAGGTGAAATTTTTGGTTCCTATAATATGACCATGCTTTCTGTTGTTGCACTGAGTTTGCCGTGTCAACAGGTTTATTTATATACATTTTTATTCTAAATGATTCTTCTGTCTCGGAGAACAAGTCTGAAGGAGTGGAAACAGGGATATGGTCTTCCTTGTGTCAGTAATGCTTACAGTTGCTTGGTTAGGCAGCTTTAGTAACAAAGCCACCATGGGCTCCTTTTCCCTTTGCCACGGTTTGAGTTCAGTGTAGAAGATTCAAATATCAACCCATGCATGTAAGATTTTCTTTGTGTTGCATGGCAGTCAGTGTTTGTACAACAAAGATAACAAGTGGAAAGAGTTTCCTAACTTCCAAGCTTCTACTGTCTTTAATTAGAAGACCCCATACTGATTTTTTTCTAGGGGCTGCTATGTCTCAGTGATAGAACTGGAGTGCCCTTCAGACAAAGCGTGTTTGGAGGGCCTGGCATGGACAGCTGTGCCAGGTCTCCTTGCTACTCTCATTGCAGAAGTGAAACGAAACAGTACTAGCTTCTACCCCCCTTAGCTTTTGTGATTTAATGTAGTGATCATAATTGGTTTTCTTTCTCTCCTGTCTAGAGAGAGCAGCTTCCACTTGCAGACGATGATAGTGAGAATGGCAGTGACAACGAAGATGAACAGCCTCAAGTGGTAACACTGAAAAAAGGGGATTTGACTGCTGAAGAAGCAATGAAAATTAAAAAGCAAATTAAAGAGGCCTTGAAGTCAAATGAATCAGGTGAATTTCAAACTACTGATTTCTTGCTTAGTACAGCCAAAGAGAGATAATCCATACAAGAGAGCTTGGTATCTGTTTAGCTTTCTACTGTAATACTACCTTTGATAAGTTGCTTTCAATTTTTCAATTTAAAACTTTTCATAATTTGGGTTTGTCATCCCTGAGGTTGTTGAGTACATATCCAAGTTCTCTGGCTTTTTATAGGGTTGCAGTTTGTGCTTCTTGATTGTGCATCATCCCACCTCCAAATACCACTTTTTTTTTTCTTTTCTTTGGTTGTTTGGGCTTTTTAAATTTTTGTTGTTTATTTTGCTATGGTGGGTCATCATCCTAGCACACGCAGTTTTGACATCACATGTGATGATTTTTCAACTCATTAAGTAGTTCAGCCAAATTTGATGGTGCTGTGAATGTCTTAAAGATAATGGTATGAGTTCATGAAAGAGAGTGTATGAGCAGGAGCAAACTTGGGTTAGTGTTTCAGTAGAAGTATGGCAGGTGTGTCAGCTGAGTAATATCTTCATTTAACTGACTCTTCCATGTTATGACTTGGTATGTGTTGTGACTTGCAAAGATATTAAGCAAAACTAAATGGGCTATTTGAAAATAACAAGTGGTAGAGTAGCACCAGGAAGTAGTAAGGGATAGAAAAAAAGGTTTATTTGCTGCAGAGAGTTATAAAGCTTTGCCTAAGTTATTTAACAGGCTTTTCAAGAACGGAAAGATGGTAGTGGTGTGGGAACAGCTGTTGCAGTTAGACAATAAAGATTTGAAACTGATTAATACAGTGACATTAAGAATTTCTGTCAGTATTCATAATTCAGATATGGTTGACATAAATGCTTTGAGAGTTCAAAACCTTCCATCATCACACAGGGTGTTATGAAATGTAGTTTCATTTTTATTTTTGCTGACAGAAGACATGTCAGATTAAAAGTAGATGTTGCTGTATTTAGTGGGAATGTCTTGATAATTAAGAATATAGAACTGGAACCTCTCAAGTATAAACCAGAAGGATTATTTGTAGAAGCTGTAGATCTTTTTCTCAGTTAGCTATTGTGGCTATTTACAAAGGCCATAAATTGATTTTAGAGCATATTAAGAGGCTAGAACATGGCTATCAATATGACATCCTTAGCTTCAGTCTTTTTTTTCTGCCATTCAGATTAAAAAATTCGGGTTTGTGCTGTATTTATGTAGGAGTATGTGTTAAAACTGAACTGATAGCAGTGGTATAAATGGAGAAGTCAAATAGCAGTAGTGGGAGGAAACACATTCAGAATCTTATGCTTTGAAAAGCAGATTGATGAAAAAGTCTTAATTTTATAATGTAAGTTAGCTTGACTTTAAATAAAACGGATTTGTTTCTGCAGATGGGTGTGTATATGTAAGGTGTAACCTGGTAGTGGACAAGGTCTGTGTTTATATAATTTGAATTCCTCTTGAGAAAATGTGTTCAGCTTCCAGCTTACTTTCTGGTCTCTTGCCATTGAAGTGCAATACATATGCTTGGTGTTGCAGTTTGTAAAGTTGTCACATGATTTCTTTTCAAAAGTAGGATCACCTTCTTAGTATTGGGAGAAATGTCAAGCTATTGGAAGGAAATGGCGTGATTCTTTCTAAGCATTGGTTTCCTTTATATATAAGCAACTTAAATTTTGAGTGATCACAGTAGGAGGAAGAATTATTTTGTAAGGCTGGGCAAAAAGAAGTAGTTGTCCATGAGAATCTATTGAGGTGGAGTCCATGCTGTGAAAAAAGTCCAAAAGAGCTACCAAGTTGAATACACAGTATGTAATGGAAGTGTGCCTGAATGAGTAACTGAACTAGTTCAGTGGAAAAAGACACTCCTAAATCACAATTGTGTATTGTGAGGATGGTAGTATTGAGTCCCAATAGGACTTTGGCACCTCTGCTTATTACCCTTTCAGCCCTTGAGTAATAACTTGTATTTGTAGCAAAAAATCCACAGTATTAGATTAGCAGAAGTGTCAAATTACTATATTCTGGGGACTGCTGCCCTCTCTTCTGCATTATTGTGTTGTTCATCCATCTGCCTTTGCTGTTAATGTGAGGTCTTGGCCTCCTTTTCCCTTTTTTTTTTTTTTCTTATGGGAATAAATAGGTTAAGTGCTACTATGTTCATCTGCTATAGAGAGGACCCAGTGAGAGATTTTCACTGAAGGTGTGGGTGACTGTGCTACAGCTTGCTGAAGGCTTTTCTGAGTCTTTGTCCACCTTTGCACTGTCAGTCTGACCTCCAGATTTAAATCCTGATTTCTACTCAGAGGTAGGTATTTAGACAGTTGGTCACTTCCAGTTTAACAAAGAGAGTTTTCAATAACATGTTAATTTATTTTTTCTCCTTATAATTGTAAATTCTTAAAATGGGAAGTATAAAGAAAGTTTGATGCTGCATGATTTGATTACTTTGTTGCTTTTATTTTTATCCCAGAGTTGAAAGTGCAGTTAATTCAATGGGTGCTAGACCATAATACATAGCCCCAAATCAGATCATTAGTGAAATTACGTGAAACTGAAAAGGTAACCAGGAAGTAAATTTCCCAACTGATAATCTTCCTTTCCACCATGCATCCACCAGTTCTGTGGCACTTGGATAGATCATAAGTAATGCACTGCTAATTACCTATTGGGAATAGAAACTGTTAGATTTTTCAAAACATGGAAGGTACTCAGATTTGTTTCTGCCCTCTCCTCTTCTACATCTGCAGTGGTTGTCTTCATTTGAAGTTCCTTGGCTTCAGTTTGGAATATTATTACAGGATTTTCACTATCTCATTTTCATCCTTTCTCCTTCATTTTCTTCTGTAACCAGTTTGATGCAGCTACAGTTTTTTATTTCAGGCACAAGCAGTTCCCATGACTTGCATTTTCTTATACAGATGCATTAATTTGGCAAAACCAGCTGATTAGTGTTGCAGGTGCACTTAGTTGCCTCCTAAGGCAGAAGAAAAAATGTCAAGCTTGTACATTGGCTTTTGCCACAGGGAACTTTTATTTAGGACTGAACCTTTCTTATATGAGAGAACACTTTTCTCCATAGAGGACTGACTCAGGAGCTTTTTAAAAATAGTCATTTGTTTATCAACAGTAATTTTGTTTAATAGTTTTATGCAACATTTTTATAAGTTATTACTGTTAATTCAGAGACAAAGAAAAATGGTTTTATGAGAAATTAAATTTGTACAAAGGAGAAGATGGCAATTACTGCAAGGTAGTTTATCTGAGCATTTTTTATGGTCTATGGAATTGATTTTTCTTCTGCTTTTCTAGTTCATCTGGCCTCTGGGACACTTTGATACATACAGATGACCTAATTTGGCAGAGGGTGTCCTTGCTCATTCCAAGTCTTTCAGTATTATTCTTATCTCACTTCTGTATGCTGAGGTTGGGAGAGGACAAGAGAGGGGAGAGGCAAGGAAAATGGTCCATACTGTCTTGGAGATCAGAGGTCTTTCCTTAGCTTAAGCAGCTGTTACATCTGTTACATATCACAGAGTTCATGCTGCTCTTAATAGTGTGAACAGCAGGACTCTAAAACAAAGTTAATTTTGTGGTATTTAAGTAACAAAAACATTCCCAAGTGTTCTCCTAAATGATTGAGACTGAATATCTGAGGAGGACTGGCCATTTATCTTCATGACACCAGTGTGTGGAATTCCTGTATTAAATGGCTCCCAAGGCATGCATAGAGATGGGTGGACAGAAAGCACTAGAAGGAGCATCTGAAAGGCTGACCTGAACTTCTAACCTTAGAAGCCGTTAAGGAATTTGCCAGGTTATCATAATTTTTTCCAGCCTTTGTCATTGAATAGACATATATATTGAAATATTGTTTGTGCTGCTCCTCCTGTTGTTCCTGTCTGTTTGCTGGCAACTGTGTTTCCTGTTGTTGCCTCATTGACCCATGCAGCCAGAAACTGCTGAAAAATGATGCTGCTGACTACACAAATGACTACTAAATAAAAAAATACAGTAAACTGAAGGGCAATGTTTCCGTTTCAGATCATCATTTCTATTTATGTAATACATCACTGGCAATCAGAAGGAAAAAACATGCATTTGTGGCTTCCAAAATTGATGTAACTTGTGAAGTGAGTTTTCAGCTCAGCACCTATTTGTACCCCTCTTAGTTGACCACTGTAAAGGTTTGTGATTCAGCTAAAAGCAGCAGTGACTAAGAGGAGTCAGAATTTGAGCTGCAGGTGTAGTTTTTTTGACTCTCTTTATCAGAAGCAAATTTAATTATTTCTCTTCCAATGTTTTTGTGTTAGTTGTATTTTACTTCATGTATTTTAGTGTCTTTTTCAGATATCCTGCATTCCATAATAATGCTGATACCGTCTGTTTTAAAAACTACCAAACTACCAAGACTGAGTTTGTTACTTCAGTCTCTTCTTTACATTGCTTAATACAAGTCAGTTTTTGGAGGTCATTGGTAAATGCAAAAAAGACAGTTGACACGTAACAGCCTAGTAAAATTAGAAGGGATGAGATGAAGCTTTTACCAACTGGAAAAGACAATCTTTACAAATTAACACACACTTCTTGAGCTGCTACATTCAATTCTTTTAAAAAAGCATAATCTGTCTGTTCTTCTTTCCACAAGTTGCTTAGGTAAGGCTGGGCCTGCTGTTTCTTCAACTGCTTCATTCTGTGTCAAGCACTACAACACATCATAGCCCTCAGAAGCTGGCCTGGCCTTCCTGCT